GGGTTTCTGTTCTCAGCGGTCACATCTGAGAGGTAGGTGGTGATGGCGAGGAACCGGCTTCTGGACCGCTCAAGTGTGCTCGCCGAGGTAACTGCCCCCGGCCTCGGCCTCCCCCCACGCCCACCCCCGCTGTTGTGTGTTGTAAAAGGTCCTTTCTTGGGAGAAGGACGTGGGTGAGAAGCATATGGAGATGGCCTCCACCCGGAAACGGGGGAAAGGGGTACCTGGAGTTACACCTATTCGTGGGACCCGCGCTGGGGATGCCTGGCAAACCTAGATAGATGCCAGGTAAGAGTCATCTAAAGGGTCCTTCGTCCTGGTGTCGAGCGTACTTAGACGTTCTCTCCTTGGGCGGATGTAGAGCCCACCTGTCCTAGCTTTCCAGACTCGGAAAGAGAATCAGGCTGGTTGGCCCTCCAACCCCCTCATTTTACAAGTGGGACAGATCTAGAGAGCGGGAGGTGACCTTCCTAAGGCCATGGGACTGGTGAATCGCGGGCTTGTCTCGGACAGTGTCCTTCCGTCATTTCACATTACAGATTTGCCCCCCCTCTATCTGGGAGGTTGCTCTGCTTTATTTCCTACCTTAAGTTCTATGGAGATGGGTATGATTGTTCTCCCATCTGGGATCTGTTATCAGGTGCACTTTCTCCCCCAGGGTATACCACAAACCCTCGGATGCTGGCCTGTGGGACTCGGCAGAGGATGAGCCCTCTCTCCTTTCATTGGTGAGCCACTCTTCCCAGCTGCTCTCCTACCATCCACCATCCTCATGTCTACCTTACTCCTCAATCTGGATTTTGGCGAACCTCCCCCCAAAAAGGCATTAGAAGGGAATGCCAAGCACCAAAGATTTGTCAGGAAGCGGCGGTTCCTAGAGAGGAGAGGCTTTCTGAATAAGAAGAAACAGCCCCCTAACAATGTGCCTAAGTTGCACTCAGAACCAGCAAAGAAAGGGGTAACGCCTCAGGTGGATGGCGCTTGGAAAACTTCTCCCCTTCCAAAAAAGAAGAAAGCTGCAGACTCAAGCAGTGGGTCAGAGCGGTCCCTGGACAGGAAGGCCTCGGTGCCCTGGCTGACCCCTGCCCCTTCGCAGAAGACTGGTTCTTTTGTGGCGAAAGCGGATTTGCTGGAGGAGTTCCAGAGTTCCCTTCCAGAGATTAAGAGCCCCCCAACTCGCCCTCAGAAGAAGAACCCCCAAAAGAACCCTATTCAGAAGAATACACCACATAACTCCACCCTGGCTCGTTCAGAGAATAAATCCTCGGGAGCATCCCAGAAGACGCCAAGGAAGATGGTGGCAATTGACTGTGAGATGGTGGGCACAGGACCCAAGGGGCATGTGAGTTCCTTGGCTCGATGTAGCATCGTCAGCTACAACGGAGATGTGCTCTACGATGAGTACGTCCTTCCCCCCTGTCACATTGTGGACTACCGCACCAGGTGGAGTGGTATCCGCAAGCAGCACATGGTGAATGCTACCCCCTTCAAGATTGCTCGGGGCCAGGTGAGCGTCATGGGGCACAACGATAGCAGCCAGGTGGGTGGGGAGAGGTCCAGGTAAGTGCGGACAGTGTTGGTGGTAGGAGAAGGCAGAATGTTTACAGAAGGAGCTGGGGATTATTTGTATAACTGGAACAGGTAGCCTGCAGTGAAGGGGATAAAAGACACAGGGTTGATGTGTCCGATTTCTAATTTCACCCATTGAGCAAACCTGCTCATTGTAGCCCTGGGCTGGGTCCTGGGAGCACAACAAATGAACAGGAAAGGAAGATGAACCAGGGAGGCCTGCAGAGGGCGCCCTTGGTCCACCTCTTTGTAATTTCAGAGTCACATTCTTTGCCTTCTCTAGGACACACTCTGTTCCAATAATTGCTTATATGCCAAAACAGTGGAATTTTTTTTTCAAACTATAAGGGAAAGTTTAATTAGGAATTCATAGAGGTAAAGAAGTGAGTGTTAGAAGAAATGGGCTCAGAAAACAAGTTCAGAGGCAAAAAAAGGCGGGGGGGGGGCTGGCCCTTGGAGCTTAGGAGAGAGAAGGGTAAAGGAAATATGCCTGGGAGGAAGAAGAGGAGGAGAGGGAAGATGGGGGTGTGCTCCCAGGGGGGGAGAGCGCCCAGCCTTCAGAATGGAGTTAAAGAACATTGTCTTCATTAGGCTTAGAAGAGGCAGAAGATGGGGTGGATATCTGACAGCAAATCCACTCAGCTTTAACAAGGGCTATGTGTTGAAGTTAATGTGAAGTAAAGGTGTTGGTGGACAATAAACTGGAGGTGAAATCAAGAGCAACTAACTACTTAGTTGATTACACTACATCTGGTTTTCATCATAAATCACTTCCCAGTGCCCAAGCTGTGCATGAGACTAAGGCATGATGGCGAACCTTTTGAGCTGGGCGTGTCAGCATTTTGAAAAACCCTAACTTAACTCTGGTGCCGTGTCACATATAGACATTTTTTGGTATTTGCAACCATAGTAAAACAAAGACTTATATTTTTGATATTTATTTTATATATTTAAATGCCATTTAACAAAGAAAAAATCAACCAAACAAATGAGTTCTCGTGTCACCTCTGACACGCCATAGGTTCGCCATCACTGGACTAAGGTCTATCCCAATGAGTCTGGCCCCTCCCAAGAGGTCCCGTTGGGAGGCCACGCACTGATTTTTCTAGGACTATTGCTCTTGCTCACAACCTGTTTGGAACTCCATTTTGGAATGGCCTTCAGAGCCCATGGCATAGTTTTTGGTTGTCCTCACTGGTAGGTAGTATGTCATACTTTAGGATCCTGGAATCATGGGAAGCTATTTGGTTGCAAGTCTAGTGTGCATGTTTCCTGAACAGCTGGTAAATACCCTTTGGTTATGACAGGAGGAATTATACAGCAGTGAAACTGACTTTCTGTTACAACAGCACTGCTCTGGCTCAGTGGTTGAGCATCGACCCGTGAACCAAGAGGTCCTTAGTTCAATTTCAGATCAGGGCACATGCCCAGTTTGCAGCCCTATCCTCAGTCGGGGGTGTGCAGGAGGTAGCTGATTGATGTTTCTCATCGATGTTTCTGTCTCTCTCAAAAAAAATGAATAAAAACATTCAAAACAAAACAGCACAGGCATGGGTCACCCACTTCCCTCTACAGCCTTAGTCTACAAGTGATTCTTTTTTAAAAAATACATGTTTTTATTAATTTTAGAGAGGGAAGGAGGAAGAGAGAGAAAGAAACATCGATTTGTTGCTCTCATACGCACCCCAACTGGGGACCAAACCTGCAACCTGGGCAAGTGCCCTGACCTGGAATTGAACCAGCGACCTTTCCATGCACAGAATGACGCTGAACCAACTGAGCCACAGTGACCAGGGCCATAAGTGATTCTTAATCTTTTATGGTTTGTAGACTTTTTGAGAATATGATGAAAGCCATAGACTCTCCCTGCAAAAAAACAAACTATATACTAGTATATATATGTATTGGCCTGTAATTTGGGGCTTCTGTCACCTCCCTGGAGCCCATCTTTGACTCCGTTTGTCCCAGCCTTCTGCCTAAGGTCAACATAATGATAATGTTTAAAGAACTTCAAGTAGCAAGCCAGAACTGAACTATATAGTTACATAAACATCCTGAATGTGAGTGTGATTTAAGACTGTAGCAAGTTAATCTATCATTGGAGTGGAAATTGATGAGAAGGTAAGGAATCACGGACGATGTAAGTTCAAAAAGGGTTACACTGAAAAATATCTACTTTCAGGGAAGGGGGTTCGGGGACTGGGTGAAAGAAGTGAAGGGATTAAGAAATACAAATTGGTAATTATAAAATAGTCATGAGGATATAAAGTATAGCATGCGGAGTGTAGTTAATGACATTGTGATAACTATATATGATGCCAGGTTGATGCTGGAAATATTGGGAAGAACATCTTGTAAAGTACTAGTATATGATTGTCTAACCACTATGCTGTACTCCTGGAACTAATACAAAATAGTATTGAAAATAAACTGTAATTGAAAAATAAAAATAATACACAACATGCGCACACACACACACAAATACCTACTTTCACCTTGTGGGGACAAGATAGATTTTAAGTGAAAGAAAACTTGGGGAGAGGGCATTTCAAAGAGAAGGAGGTGGGCACTTGATGGAAAGAATCTGAAAGGACCTAGGACCACGATGGACTTTTAGGATGCAGGACTCCACCTGAGTCCTACTCCTTACTGCCTCTTCCATGCCGATTTCAGATCTTGAAAATACTCACAGGGAAGATAGTGGTGGGACATGCCATCCACAATGACTTCAAAGCCCTTCAGTACTTTCACCCCAAGTCTCTTACCCGTGACACGTCCCATATCCCTCTTCTCAACCGGAAGGCTGACTGCCCAGAGAATGTTACCATGTCTGAAGCAG